TAAACGCCTGGAATGATTTTACCACTAATAATGTTTTTTTTTTTTTTTTGTGGTACAATGCATTTAGGATGCACAGCGTGAGGTCCCCAAAAACATAACAATGGTGTAGAGGACTGCAACATATATGAATATTTCTAAATAAACAAAAAGAGGAAATAAAAAAACAGAAAACAAAGACGGGTTAAAAAACGAACTCAAGGAATAATCCTCAGAATAGAAGCTAAGCATCTCAAGAAGGCTAATAAAGTTTCACAACGGAAGTCGTGTGAATAGGTTATTTCTCATACTGGGAACTGGACGTTAAGTGACAATTATGTCCAAAAACACACACACACACACACAAAAAAAAGACAAAACAACCCACATCCTTGTTAAATATTTCCATCCCTCCATCTTCTCTTGCTTAATCGATCAGGGTCGTCGTGGGGCTGGTGCCTATCTCCAGCAGTCTATAGGCAAACGGTGGGGTACTTCCTGGACAGATCGCAAGTACCTCATAAGGCAAAATAGAGACACACAATCATGCAAACTCATATTCAATTTTGTCATGTTTTATGACAATGGGAGGAAACTGGAGTACCTGGAGAGAACCTATGTATGCAAAGGCCAAGTAGCCAAGGCGCACGATCAGTCAGAGGCATATCTACAGGACCGCACACTGTCACACAGGCATGAGGATAACATGCAATCTCCATGCAGAAAGACCTTGTGCAGGAATCAAACCTAGTGCTTCTTTCTGCAAGGCACAAGTGCTACAAACTGCGTCACCATGCAGCATTATGGCATAATTTTAGTTTGATTTCCCCAATTTTGGACCAAGGATATTTATATCTTAATAACTCAAATGTCTAAACAACAAGGTAGAGCTAAACCTAAAAATCAGTATTTGTGTCGCTACCAGAATATTTACCTAACGGTAACTTTATCAATCTAATGCACTTAGTAGCCAAAGCAAAATCCACCTGCTGTTTCTTACTGAAGTTTGAATGTATATCACTAGAGGTCACTGTTTGATGGAATTACCTTTGCAGAACAGTAACCTTCCCAAGAGGGAATTGGAATAACACATGCTTCCAAATCCAAATAAAGAAATAAGATTTAGTTTGTGTTCCAGTTTTGAACATCGTTGAAAATAACAACTCACTAACACAGGTGTGTTTCAAAATAACTCTGTCCAATAAATGCTTGATTGTTTTGTTGCAATAAAAGCAACCCCCCACCGACACACAGTTGTTAAATAAATCTGAACTATTTATTAGAATTCAGAGTAGCATCTATTTAACCCAAAACATTTCATTGTAAGGGTATTGCTAGTGATGATTTGTAAAGAGCAGGAGTGGATCTACCGGGCTACAGGGAATCAAGGGGGCTGGGTTATTGCCCCTCCCTTGTAAAGCCTTGCCCAGCTGGCCTCTACCTTTATGTTCTTAAACAGTTAGTAAACAGTAATTGTTTGTGTCTCAAAGTTCTCAAAGCCTCTTAAAGCTTTCAAAAATAAACTTTAATTTACAGAAAATATCACCTGTATTAAACTTTAACAGAGAAAGCATTTAGTGATTTAGCTTTTCTTAGCACAGAGATGCCTTCTGCTCTCCAATAAGTAATGGCTGAAATCAGTTCTGTATGGTATCGTATCTCTAGAATTGTCTGATATATTTATTTGCTGTATTTATTTGTTTATTTATTTTGTTAAATATTTGTTTAACTGAGCCAGTATTTAAAGGAAAGGCAAGGAAAGTTTACTTGTATAACACAATTCAGTATGAAGACAATTACAGTCAA